GTATTTGTCTCCCAAAGCCAGTTCGTGAAGGCTGTGGAAGACAGCTGTTTCTTCAAAAGTGAAGACGGAAGACAAGACTTCAAGGAACAACATGAAAAGCCAAGGTAATAAGACACCATCAAAGGAATGCAATAATTGTCCAGTAACCAACCCCAAAGAAATGGAGATCTGTGATGTGCCCCCCAAAAAACTCAAACTTGTTTTAAGAAAGCTCAGTGAGTAACAGGAAAACATAGAAAGAGAATTCAGTGAAATCAGGATAACAATACACACCAAAAAATGAGAAGTTGAACAGAGAGGCAAAAATTATTTTGAAAAGAACCAAATAGAAATTCTGGAGCTAAACAAGGTGTTAAGCTAAGTAAGTAAGACAGAGAAAGACATATATTGTATGATCTCACTTTTATGTGGAATCTAAAAAAAACAAAGTAATAGAATAAGTAAAATGGTGGTTGCCAGTGACTAGGGATCAGGGAAAATAGAAGATATCAGTCAAAGTGTATAAACTTCCAGCTATAAGAAAAATAAGATCTAACGTACAGCATGGTGACTATAGTTAACAATGCTATATTACATATTTGAAAGATGCTAAGAGTGTAGATTGTAAATGTCTTTCTTATTGTCCCCAGACACAAAAAATGGTGTGTATGTGAATGGCTACAGGTGTTAACTAATCTTATTGTGGTGATTATTTCACAATATATACCTGTATCAAATTATCGTGTTATACACCTTAAAGCTACACAATATCATAAGCCAATAATGGCTCAATAAAACTGGGAAAAACAAGAATTCTGGAGTTTGTGAGTAGGAAGGTCATAGACTTCCAGTTCTGAATATATTGTAGATTCAATAACTCAAAAACTCCAGAACATTGTAGACATTGTAGACAAAATATAACAACTTCATTTTGCTTTTTAGCATTTTTCTCAAGAGGTATATATTTACAGAGTTTAACAAGAAAGTACACAAAAGTATTTATAGTAAATTTTCTTCCCCCACTCTCATGCCTAGCTACCCAGCTTTCTTACACAGAAGTCCTAAAAACTACCAGTTCATCATGCACCTTTCTAGAGATGGGCTATGCATATAAAAGAAAAATATTTATATACAGTTGATCCTTGAGCAATGCAGGAGTTAGGAACACTGAAACTGTATGCAGTCAAAAACTCACATATAACTTTTGACTCCCCAAAAACTTAATTACTAATAGCCCACTGTTGACTGGAAGCCTTACTGATAACATCAACTGATTAACACTTATTTTGTATGTTATTGTATTATATACTATATTCTTACAATAAAGTAAGCTAGAGAAAAGAAAATGTTGTGAAGAAAATCACAAGGATAAGGGGTTAATATTTATAATATCTAAAGAACTCCTACAACTAATACCAACCCCCCTCCAAATAACCCAATTAAAAAATGGGCAGAGGACCTGAACAGACATTTTTCCAGAAGACATACAGATGGCCAATAGACATATGAAAAGATGTTCAACGTCACTAATTATCAGGGAAATGCAAATTAGATCACAATGACATATCTCTTTATACCTGTCAGAACAGCTAAAATCGAAGACAAGAAACAACAATTGTTGATGAGGATGTGGAGAAAAAGGAACCTTCAGATACTATTGACAGGAATACAAACTGGAGCTCCCACTATGGAAAACAATATGGAAGTTCCTCAAAAATTTAAAAGTAGAATTCCATTGTATATATAAGCCACATCTTGTTTATCTATTCATCAGTTGATGGCCATTTAGGCTCTGTCCACAGTTTGATGAATGGACAAAAAAGTGGTTTACATATACAATGGAATACTACTTGGTGATGAGAAAGAATGAAACCTGGCCATTTGCAGCAATGTGGATGGAATTGGAGGGTATTATGCTAAGTGAAATAAGTCAGTCAGGGAAAGAGAGATACCGTATATTTCCACTCACGTGGATCTTGAGAAACTTAACAAAAGACCATGGGGGAAGGGAAGGGGGAAAAAAAATTACAGAGAGGGAGGGAGGCAAACCATATGAGACTCTTAAATACAGAGAACAAATTGAGGGTTGATGGGGGGTGGGAAAGAGGGGAAAGTGGGTTATGGGCATTGAGGAGGGCACTTGTTGGGATGCGCACTGGATGACAGTAAATTACATTTTAAAAAATAAATAAATAAAATAAAAAGATTGTAAAAAACAAATTATAGTAGAATTACCATATGATCCAGAATTCGACTCCTAGGTATTTACCCGAAGAATACAAGAGAACTGATTTGAACAGGTGTGTGTACCCCTATTTTTTCTGCAGCATTATTTATAATAGCCATGATATGGAAGCAACCCAAGTATTCATAGGTAGATTAATGGGTAAAGAAGATGTGTATGTGTATGGGGGGGGGGGGCGGCGTGCGTGTGTGTAACATTATTCAGCCGTAAAGAAAGAATGAAATTTTCCCATTTGCAACAACATGGATGGACCCAGAGGGTATAATGCTAAGTGAAATAAGTCAGAGAAAGACAAATACTACATGATTTCACTCATATGTGGATTTAAGGACAAAACAAACAAAGCGAAAAAGAGACAAACACAAAAATGTACTTTTAAATATAGAGAACAGGTGGTTTCCAGAGGGGAGGTGTGCAGTGGGACGGGTGAAACAGATAAGGGATGAAGAGTACATTTATCTTAATGAGTACTGATAAATGTATAGAATTGTTGAATCACTATATGGTATAGAAGAAACTAATGTAACACCGTGTGTTACTTATATTTCAATTCGAAAAAAAGAAAATCACAAGGAAGAGAAAATATATTTATAGCATCATACTGTATTTATTGAAAAAACATAAGTGGACCTACATAGGTCAGAGCCATGTTGTTGAAGGGTTAACTGTACCATATTTTTATTCCAATAGAACACCAAATATGCATGCCATAGTTCATTGTGTTTGTTTCACTTACCAATAGATTTTAGAGATAGTTTCACATTTTAAGATAAATTGTCTTCATTATTTCTTTCTTTAAACTACAGAGTATGCGTATAAAAGAGGTATCTAATCAGTCCTGTAATGACTGACTTTTAAATTGTTTGAAAACTTTTGCTAATGTAAATTATGCTGTAATAAATTTTGGCTTCATAGGGTATACACCTTCAAAAGGTTGATAGATTTTGCAAAAATTTTTTCTATAGATTTGAAAAATTGACACTGAGAGCCAACAATTTATGACAGTCCCTCTTTCCCCATACCCTGACCAACCCATTTGTAATAAATATTCTTTTAAATATAAACTCAACTCAAAGTACAATGAGGGACCAGAAATGAGGAGGAAACTTAATCACAGCAGGTAACTATGTGATGAAACTATCATGGAAGGGAAATCCAGACTGTATAATCTAAGGATATAGGCTTTAGTCCTCATCAACTAATGAAAAAAAAAAAAAAAAAAAGACCTCAGCTACTGAAAGAGTTACATGTTCAGTGAAAGAATAGTCTAGAAATAATATTCCAGTTAACACAGGAAAGGAGAAGATAGATATCATGTTTTGGTTGAGACTGTAGGAGGCAAATTGAATTATTTCCAGGTTGAAATTTAAATTTATACTAACTGGATGTTCTAGTTACTCCCAAGGCAAGACACAAACATAAAACATGTTGTAAGAGAATCCTACTTCTGGCTATGACAGAGTAGCTCGTAATGGTTCAGGCTTTTGCCAAAAACAATTACATAACTGAGGAAAGTATACCAAATGTTGGAAAACCGGCAGTGCAGATTTATGATTCCCAAGATAATGAACTCAAGCAAAGTAGGCCCCAGGATCATGAAATCTCTCTCTGTTGGGACACTTCCTGATGGCTGCATAGGTGGGAGGGACCACAAACAGACAGTGGCTTTGCTGAGGTCAGAAGACAGATATGAAAGTAAGAGATGATAGAGTAGCTGGAATTTGCAAAACAAGATCATAAGAAATAAGAGAACTTGCTGAGAAATAGTTGCAGAAACTGGTCTGTGTCCCTTTGAGTTTCTTTGAGTTTCCGTCTAAAATACAAGCTTTGTATTCATAGGTCAAGTCTCTGTGAAGCCTGATGAAGTACATCTACAGAGAACAAACTACAGGGAATCGCGAGCTCAACAACACTGGAGTTCACACAGGGCTGGAGACGTTTTAGAATAAGCCAGTGTGGGAGAACCTCAAGGAACACCCCAGGATTCCAGTGGAGCCAAAACATTGCCATTCATTCCGTAGTGCTGTTCAATACTAGAATTTAAATGAGAACAAGAGAGAACACCCGGGTAGGATTTCTAAAAACAGACACCATAAATGAGAATTTCATTCATGCATGACTTCTCTTTCCCTGTCATATATATTTAATCGTATTTATTTTCAGTAAGTAGTCTGACAACCAAGGATACTGGTAGGAGGCCTTTCTTTTAATAATTTTCCAGCTGGATTTTCTGATAATACCCAGTAAGCTATGTCCACTGGCTATGAGAGCACCAGGCTCCCGTTACTTACAGCTTCAAGAGAGGTGAACTCCTGCATCATAAACTTTCTGCAGCACATGTGACAACAGCTATTGCGAATTTCTTTCACATTCACTTCTGCTGCACCAACTCTCACTACCATTTTCAGCTCAGATGTGACCTTAAAATAGGAACAAAGGCATGTAGGCGAAGAGAACTGATGAAGATACCCCTGTGGAACAGCCTTGTACATTTCAGGGAAGTCACTTTCAATGTGTATACTCACTCTATGGTTTCAAAAATCAAGGTTTTTTTCTTTACTGATTTGTCCATGTTGGGTTGAGCTTTAAACTTCTTAAATTTTTCAGTGGAGGGGCTCCTGGGTGGCTCAGTCGGTTAGGCGTCCTACTTCAGCTCGGGTCACGATCTCGCAGTCCATGAGTTCGACCCCCGTGTCGGGCTCTGGGCTGATGGCTCAGAGCCTGGAGCCTGCTTCCGATTCTGTGTCTCCCTCTCTCTCTGCCCCTCCCCCGTTCATGCTCTGTCTCTCTCAGTCTCAAAAATAAATTAACGTTAAAAAAATTTTTTCAGTGGAGCCCTGAAATTAGCTGTGAGAATAATGTATCAGTGTAAAAGGGGTTTACTATGTGTAATATTAAGATATTTCTACACATAAACATAAGTTCCTTGGTACCACATGGATTCTTCAATCATAGCATATTTACTAAAAATTTAGAGGTGACTTGTGTCTTTTAAGGAGAGAAGAGACACAGTCAAAGGGAAGAGAGGAAATAACTCACTGTATTGTTTGTCGTCAAGAGAAAATCACCAATCTCACTGATTAATATTCATATTTAAATACTTATTGAAGCCCTGACTTAGGCACCCAAATCCTATCTTTGGGATATATTACCATATCTAACTAGGTGTCTGCTCATCAGACCAAGAAAATATATAAGATTATACATTGCTAAAGCTTTAATTAGGTAAAATTAACCTTTATACTCATTTTTCCATGACCCTTACAAAAATATTTTATGCTAACAATTAATATGTGTCTCTATATTTCCTAACACTTTGAAGAAATCAAACCTGTTCAATGAGTCAATATGAGCCCACTTCAAATCCTGTTTCCCTCTGTCTCTGCCCCTCCCATGAATGCTCTCTCTCTCTGTCTCTCTCTCAAAAATAATAAAGAAACATTAAAAAATTCAATTTTAACATTGCTCAATGAGCTAACTTAAGTACAAAGCTAATTTAGGTATAAAGCAGAGTTCTTTTCTTTGCTGTTTGTAAGAGTCAGCGTTTTCTATAGAAACAGGGCCAGTAGGAGATTCTATATGTGTACACTGATTTTATATATACATATATAGATAGATACATATACTCACATGCATACATGCACACACATGTGCATACACAGGCATACACACAGGTGTATGTGATTGTACATAGCTCACGTGATCACGGGACTCCCAAGTCTGAGACCTGTAGGGTGGGCCAGCAGTCTGGAAACTCAGGCGGGAATTGATGCTGCCATCTTGAGGCAGAATCTCTTCTTCATCTATAGACATGTAAAATTAGAAAATAGGTTATCTGCTCCTAAAATTCAGTGGTGGGATAGGACAGGACAGACTTTCCCATTCCATTAGACATTTATTCACATGTCTTTTCAAGGTCATCTAAGCTTGTTCTACTATGTGCTTCAAAATTCTTCCAGACTCTACCCGTGACCCAATCCCAAAGCCATCTCCACATTTTAAATTATTTGCAACAGCAGCACATCACTTCTCAGCACCAAAGTCTATGTTAGTGTCCTGGAGTTGCCATAACAAAGTACCCCAAACTAGGTGACAATAGAGGCAGAGATTGGAGTGATGGGTCTTACAAGCCACAGTGTATCAAGAATTGCCAGCAACTGCCAGAAGCCAGAAGACGCAAGGAAGGATTCTTCCCTAAAGCCTTCAGACGGAGCCTGGCCCTGCTGACACTTTGACTTTGGACTTCTAACCTCCAGAGCTGTGAGGCACTAAATTTCTATTATTAAGCCTCTGCATTTGGGACTTTGTTACAGCAGCCATAGCAAATTAACACACTGTTAAATCTTGGGTTGTTGTTTTTTTTTTTTTTTTTTATTCTTTTCTATACTTAATGTGTTTATATTTAGCTACTTGTCTTATTTCCTTAGCTTTGGAAAGTCATTAAATTCATTTTCTACTCTTTCTTTCTCCATTTCCCAGTTGCCAATATATACTGGTATACTCCCAGATTGGCATTTGTGCCTTGCCTTTCCTAATACATGTACCGAATCTTCCTAAGAGGAAAACCCTCCATATGTTCTACTACTGACTCAGTATGCGGAAGACATACCAGGTTCGCATGAAGGCCAGATGTAGCAATATAGACTCTACCGGGGTATAGGTTTGCATTATTGCAACTATCCCAACTGATTTGTTCATTAAAGATTTATTTTATGTCTACCATGTTCCAGATCCTATGTTAGTCACTGTTTAGCATGACACTAGAAGGCTCACTAAATATTTTCTTGAAGGAAACATGATCCAAATTATATCCCCATGGGTAGCCTTCCTAACCAGAGTGTCACCTTGCCAGGAGCCATGCCTCTTACAGGTAGTAGCTCTGCCCATGATGGCCCAGTCCCGGCTTCCTTCCCTTTCTTACTCTGTTATGTTGTTGAGACCCCAGCATGTGACCACAGCTTATTCACTGTATTCAAATCCAACCCGCCAACCACCACCTTTGCGACTTCAGGCACTTGGCTTTGAATTCTCTGTACTGCATTTGCAACGACTTCAAGAGGACCATGATAATATATTCAACCTCCCAGAGTCGTTGTAAGGATTCAGTATGATAGCCTATCTTGAGAAAGTACGATGTGAACAACTGCTAATTGTTATTATGGCTGCTCTTAAGGACCTTGAAGTCTAATGGGGAAGGACTGTTGAAAAAGTATTGCTAGGTCTGCAGAAAACGTATGTATTTGTAACCAGCTTGAGTGGTATCTCCACCCTGACCCCTAACTATTGTATTCATTTAGGAAATTACAAATATAGCTTATGTTGGTCAGACCTAGTGTTTTTAGAGTTTAGATGATATGAGGAAAGAAGTGCTCTTAGGCGAATAAAGACAAGTTCCTCTTGAGAACATAAGGAAAGATCATATCCCACTTGCACATAAATGTGCCATTAGTGAATTACTCATTCTGGCTCCAGATTTCTTCCTTTGTTTCTTCCCATTTATTAAGAACCTCTGGATTTGGCTTCTGTTTTGCCTGAAAACATGAGAGGAAGACTCAACACTTAGCTTGTTGTGTGGTTTTTGTTTGTTTGTTTGTTTTTTTTTTTTTTTTGGTCACTACCTGTGACTGGAAGCGTCTCAAAATAAGTTGACGGTTTAGATATGCCTTAACAACCTTACTTACAGTTGATAAACTCACCATTTTGCACCAACTTGTGCTAGGGCAATTGGAAAAAATCAGATACTGGTTTCTATTCCATTTCCACAATTTAGTAGCTGTGACTTTTTGTTTATTTTTATTTTTTGGCAAATTACTTCCTCTCCCTGAGGCTCAGTTTCCTCATGTATACATTGAGAGAAATAAGGATTAAATGAAAACTCGGCACATGATATGGCTAAGAAAATGATAGCACTTCCCATTCTTATTCTTCAGTCACCATTTTGTTGATTTACCATTGTTTTTTTCAAATCAAACCAAGCACATATAAATGGAATTTGGGAGCAAGAGACAAAGGCCATTGAAAAGAGATCAGGGGATGAAACATGGCAACTGGATATACTTAATGGGCATGTTTGCTGTCCTTGAGACACCTAGCATTTTGTTTGCCCATGGCATTGAACTCAGACCCATTCTCAGACATTTCCTTTCCAATCAGTCGTCCCTTCAGCCATCTCTCTCTAAGTGTAAATTTCTTTCATTTTTAAAATATACCTTACAAAATAAGTTAGTAAATCATTTATTTTCCAGTCAAAAAGTACAGTGTGAATCAATGCAAGGAAGACTATAACATCTTCAAAGTGAAAAGCATCTTGATTTAAATTCTATTTCTTCTACTTAGTAGTGTTGTAACCTTGAACAAGCTACTTATTTCTCTGAACGTTAGTTTCCTCGTTTAAAAATGGCTATAATTTTTTCCAGCTAGACTGATATTTGAAAGGAAGTAATATGTTGCACAAAAAAAGCACCTGGAACATCTTGTAGCCTAAAACTAATAGGCAAAATGTTAATCATTGTGGGAATTACTACTAAGACTCTGAAGATAGAAATTATTTTATCTGAGAAGTTGTAAGACAGAGTGTTCCTGCTGTTTTTCTTCTAGAATAATAAGTGGATGGGAGAAAAAAAAAACTAACGATATTTTGAAAACAATAAAGTGGGGGAACTTTATTAAATATATTAAAATATCTTTTATGGCTGTTTAAACAAGGGTATGTGCTAATGATTCAATAGATACATCAGCTAAACAGACCAGTCTAAAACAAACTTTAGTATTGATAATAAGAACTTACTATATGGTAAAGGAAGAATCACAGAGTAATGAGAGGAATACATTGTTCAATAAATAATATTAGGAAACTTAGCTAAATATATAATAAAACCTAGCTAGAACTTTCTCAAAACTTACATTAGGATGTTTCACATTTCTTTCTCCTCCACACTGTTGCCTGGCCCCTTCCCCCCACCCCATTAAATATATTTTCAGGGGGTGCCTGGGTGGCTCAGTCGGTTAAGCGTCTGACTTTGGCTCAGGTCATGAACTTGCATTTCATTAGTTCAAGCCCTGCATCGGGCTCTGTGCTGACAGCTCAGAGCCTGGAGCCTGCTTTGGATTCTGAGTCTGCCCCTCTCTCTGCCTCTCCCCTGCTTGTGCCTTCTCTCTGTCTCTCAAAAAAATGAATGAATGTTAAAAAAAAATTTTTTTTAATATATATATTTTCAGGAGTACAAAGGCTCACATCTCTAATTGTGCTATCTTCTTTTTTTTCCCTTTCTTAAAAACTTCTAGAAATACTATAGTTCTGAAGATTTTTATGACTTCACAGAAGTCTTGAGTACCCTTACTCCTCAAACCAAGAGACTGAAGACTGATACAGTTTTCAAGACCATTTCACATAACATTTAAGTTAAATGGTTAATGTCTTTGATGCTGCCTTTGACTTAATTTTCAAATGCTGCTAACCCAGTAACTTAGCTTAAAAATGGACATGAGGAAGCAGCTGTTTCTTTCCATGATGGTAAACTAGCCTAAGCCACTGAGTTAAAATTAAAGCTGGGGAATCTACAGAAGCCAGAGGAAACCAATACACCACGAAAAACTTGGCCAGATCGAAATCTCTCTTGAACATGTGGTATGTGATGTGCGCGATGTAGGTTTGTGTGTGTGTGTCTGTGTGCATGTGTGTATGTGGTATGTATGGTATGGTGGGGTATTTGTGATGTGATGTGGGGGGTGTATATGTAGGGTGTGGGAAGTATGTGGAGCACATAGTATGTATGTGTGTGTGGTATGATGTGATGTGTGTACAGTGTGGTGTGGTGTGTGTGTATGTGAGCATGTGTGTGTGTGTGTGTGTGTGTGTGTGTAGGTGGTGTGTGGAATGTGGTATATATCTGTGTGTGTGGTATTTGTGCACATGATGGGCAGCAAGATCCTGGGACAGATGCCAACCAGAGGCAGCAGGGAGAAGGTTAGTTGGAAGAAAGCTTCTTCCCACATGCCTTGGCCAAATCATTTCCTGCCCTTTGACCACAGAGATCAGTGATCATAGTGGCCCTGGTCTCTGATGTCTGTGTCCAATGGTGAGAACTGGGCAGCACAAAAGCCCTACTGAGCTGAAGAATAAGGTAAAACAGATGAAGTCTGAGAAATCATTCCTAGGAATTCACCCCTAGACTCCTCCAAATTCCCAGAATCAATAAATTATACTTTTTTTAATCAAAAAAATATTGATAAATATAGGCTATTATTAGGCCATTACATAAACCTCTATATATTGCAAATTATCAATGTCAGACCAACTATGTTCTTTGCACATAAGACAACACAATGAGAAATTAAAAACAAAGAGCTTAAACGTCCATGTTCAGTGACTAAATAATAACATATTGCCAAACATTACAAGCAAAAGAAAATTAAGAAATGGTTACAATGAAATGATAATGAAAACAGTAGTAGTCAAAGTTTGTAGTACATGGATAAAGCAGAACTTGAAAGTTTATGTATAATCTAAATAAGTTTATCAGATCACAAAAATGTTTTTAATTTTTTAAAAAATGTTAATGTTTATTTATTTTTGAGACAGAGAGAGACAGAACGTGAGCAGGGGAGGGACAGAGAGAGAGACACACACAGAATCCAAATCAGGCCCCAGGCTCTGAGCTGTCAGCACAGAGCCCAATGTGGGGCTCGAACTCATGAACCGCGAGATCATGACCTGAGCTGAAGTCAGATGCTTAACTGATGGAGACACCCAGGTGCCCCACAACAACGTTCCTAAAAAGTGCTACCTATTAACAATGCCTAG